TTGTTTTGTTTTGTTTTGTTTTGTATTTTAGGGAAGGGTCTACAGGGTGTTCAGGGTGTCACTACTAGATCAGACTTGTAGTGACCCACCAGCTTACAGCCTACCAAGAGCTGGGATTACAGGCACGCACCACCACACCCAATCTCAATTGCTGTCTCAGCATGCCCTGGGGGCGGGCCCCGCACTGCAGGCCTTGGGATTGAACCCTGGCCCCTGCACCTGCTTGCAGGTGCTTTAATTTGCTAAGCTATTTGACTGGCCCATGTGATTGATTTTTGATCCAATGCTGGGATTGCAGGTGTGAGTGCTATACCTGGCCCTGGGATGGGTAATCTGCATTAGAATGTAAAGATGTGAGAGAGGCTTGCTATCTTTGGGAGCTGCTGCATCTCCCTCGGCCTTTTGCTGCAGCCATGGACTGCTGCTCTCTGCCACGTGCCACTCTTCCTTAGACACGGCAGAGTAAGGATTGAAACCTCCACTAATTGTGAGATAAATAAACCTTTTCTAGCTCAATTTGGGTTGTTGGGTATTTTGTTCCAGCAAGGAGAGAAAAGTAACTGAGGCAATAATAAAAGAATATTTCTAAAATACTCAGGTAATCTTAAAGTTCAAGAGTAAAAATCAAACAAACCAATTGAAAGATAAAGAAAATACATGTGTCAGATAAATATATGCAAACATGTCCATATCATCTGTCACCAAGGAAAAACAAATTCAAACAAAATACTTTTAAACATCTAGATGGACAAAATCTAGAAAGTGGACAAGATCAGGTGAGAACACAGAACAAAGGAAACTCCTCCCCGCTGCTGTGAGTGGCACTACCTAGACGAGGCAACACACTGTGAGTTTTCCTCAAAATGAGTGTGTCGTTGCCAAAACCTAGAAGTAGCCAAGCTGTCTTTCTGTAGTCCAGAAGGAGCGAGCAAGCATAACTCTCCTAGCCTGTTGCTTTCACATGACTTAAAATTTTGACAACATATAAGTAAGATTATAAAAACATCTTCTGCTTTCATATCACACTGTTCAGAGGAATTGAAATAACTCACTTCACATGTAAGTCAAAAACAGATTAGAGGTAGCTGAGAAAAAGAAACACAATCAAACTTTGCAGTGGATGGATTTTATTACGTTAAGTATACTCCTCAAATGGTATTTTAACGTGCTAGCTCTAGACACCTAAGAATTTGACTTTAATTGGAAACAGTCACAGTAGAAGTAATTAGATAACAAATGAAGTCATTGTGGATAAAGATTGATTCTAAATGTGATAGAGCTCATGTCCATATAAAACAGACGATGTAAAGAACATATATAGGGAAATCACCATAGAACCATAAAGGCAAAGAGTGGAAAGATTCCCCTACAGCCCAAGGAATACCAGGAAATGTCCACAGTGACTGGAAGCTACAGAAGTACTGAAAACTCTTCCCCAGAGGATGGCCGCTTGAACGTCTGACTTAAAGTAGTAATTTGTTGTTTTAATAATTTGGGGGTGGGGGTGGGGATATGGCTCAGTGGAATAAGCGCTTCCCTGGCAAGCGCAAGGGCTTGAGTTCAATCCCCGGTTCCACCAAAAAAAAAAAAAAAAGAAAAAAAAACAAAGCTACAAACATAATATATTCCATATTTCAAAATGTCAGGTACACATAATCAAAGTGACATGAATTATTAATTCACTTTAATTTAATTAGGTACTCATTTCTTATTATGATAAAAATAAATTTCAGAAGTTTCACTTTTGAGAAATCAAGAGTTTTATAAAAACAGATATTATAATTAAAATATTTTAATTATACCTTTGCACCATTAAATTTCTTAAAACATGCTAGAAACCACTCAATAGGTATAGGCTGAATTAAAGAACATAAAGAAAAACAATCAGGCAGGATTCATTCCAGAGATGTAAGGATGGATTAGCATATGAAAATCAGCGTGTATAACATATCACATAAACAGAAGCAAGACCAACAATCACATGGTCATCTCATTATATATAGAAAAGGCCATGGATGAAATCCCTAATCCCTTCATGAGGAAAGCCTTGAAAAAGACAGGTATAGGAAGACCTCATCTTAGTCTGATAAAAATGATTTGTAACACACCTACTTCCAATATCATATTATATGAAAAATTGGATGCTTTCTCTGTAAAGTTAGGAAAAGACAAGGAAAATCATTACTACCACTTGTGTGCAGTGTAGCACTTGAAACACTAGCCAGCGTGATCATGCAAGAGAAGCAAACCAAAGGGGTATGTACAGGACATGACGCAGCCAAGGTACCGTTACTTGCGCGCAGCATAATCCCCCACACAGAAGGCCCAAAAATGTCCACCAGAGGAGCCAAGTCAGCTCTCAGATGTCAATAGCACTCCTGCACATCAATAATGAACTCAGTAAGCAAGAAATTAGGACAACAATACCATCCACAGCATCGCCAAGGAAAAGTCGACATTAAAAGTGAAAGACCTGCACAAGAAGAACTGGACCACTGCTAAAAAGGAGACTGAGGAGGAAGTTAGTAAATGAAAATTTCCTGATATACAGAACCAATACTGTCAAAGTGGCCACTTTTGCAAAGTGATTACCAGACTTAACACAATTATAATAAAAATCCAAACAGCAAGTTTCACATAACTGGAAAAAAAGTTTTAAATCCACAAGGATCCAGAAGAGACACAGTATAGCCAAAGCAGTTCTGGGCAGCAAGGGCACAGCAGGAGGCATCACTGTCCAGGACTTCAAGTTACATCACAAAGCTACAGTGCAAAAAGGTGTGATGTTGGCACAAAAGTAGACATGTGGGTCACTAGAACAGAAGAGAGTACAAAACACCTCCAGCCAAACTCAATCATCTGATCTTTGACAAAGTCCAAACACATTTCCTGGAGGAAAGACAGCCACTTGAACAAATGGCTCCAAGAAAACTGGCTTCCACACACAGAGAAGTGAATCTAGACCCACACCTTTCACCGTGCACTAAACTAAAATCACAACGATCTAAGCTCTCAATATTAAAACAAGAAGAATTAATCTACTAGAAGGTGAAATAGGTAAAGCTCTTGAATACATAGGCATGGGCAAGGACTGTCTCAACAGAACCCAACTCACAACAAATTGCATGAAGAATCAAAAAGTGGGATAATACCCAATTAAGAAGCTTCTGTAGAGAGAGAAAAAAGAAACACCCAACAGTATGAAGAGGCGTCTGGTAGGGTGAGAGACAGTTCGGCATATATTCCTTGGACAGAAGATTAATATCTAGAATATATAAAGAAATCAAACATTTAATGCCTCCCAAATAAAAGACTTGATCAAAGATGAACAAATAAAATGAGTTTCTAGTGCTTTTCAGAAATACAAATGGCAAATAAATAATGAAAATATGTTCAACATCTTTAGCCACTGGAGAAACACAAATTAAAGTAACACTGAGCTTTCATTTTACTCCAGAAAGAATGACTACCATAAAGAAATCAAATAATAGTTAATACTGATGAGACTAGAGGAAAAGGAATCTTTCTCTATTGTTGGTAGGAATGTAAACTAGTTTGACTGCTATGAAAATCAAAATGAGGGTGCTTCAAAAAAAAGAAAGAAAGTAAGAAAAGAAAAGAGAAAACACTTCCTTGTGATCCAGCTATTTTTCTGTTAGATATCTTCCCAAAAAGAAAAAAGATAGTATTACTATACTACATGGATATCCATGTTTACAGTAGGCCAAGTCACAATGGCTGACTCTTGGACACAGCCTTATATATCTAACAACAACGACAGAATTTCAAAATTGACATTTGTAGAGAGGGGAGTACTCTTACATCATAAAAATATAAATAGTCATTTGTAATAAAATGGACATATCTTGAGCCCATAATGTTAAGTGAAATTACCATACTGCATGGTTTCTCTTATATGAGAAACTCAAAATATTAGGACCTGGGAGATAGCTCAGTAGAATAAGTGCTTGCCTGGCAAGCACAAGGTCCTGAGTTAAATCCCTGGAGGCGGGGGTAGAGAAGAACAAAAGAAAAGAAACTCAAACTACTAATGAAGAGCAAAATAAATTTAGTTATCAGGAAACAGAAGGACAGCTGTTTAGTCTATGGGAAAGGGACTGGGAGGTGAAGGGGCACAGGATCAGAAGAGGACAAGCAAGGTCTGAGAAGGAATGTAGGTGCGCCCTGCACAC